TTTTTTTTTTTTAAACGCATTTGCATTTCAATTTTAGTCGTAGTTTTATTTAATTTGTTTTTTTTTTTTTTTTTTTTGTAAACTCTTTATCTTCTTCTTTACGTTTAGTGTGTTTTAATGTTTTGTTTTATTTTATTTCGACTTTGACGACGAAATCTCATCATTTGAATTCTTCTTTTTTTTTCTACCCCCACTCCTGTATTTTTATTACAGTATATTTCTTTTTTTTTATTTTTTATTTTTTGTTGGTTTGTATATAACAACACAACTGGCTTTTACGTTGATAAAATTTTTTTTTTTTTTTTTTTAGTAAATAACATTTTTCAATCACTATTCTGTTTCTCAAAGGATTTCTAACAGCTAGTCAAATCAATTTCAACGAAATTAAACTTTGCGCTGTGCGTTATTTAACTTAACACCCGTTACCTGTATGCAATGTACGTGCAATTCCGTAAATTTAATTCAACGTGTATATTACAATTGAGTTGTATTAAACATTCCCTTTGCAAATTTTCTATCGCTACGTGTGGTTTTTGTAAACCACACGCTGTAAAATCATTCCTATAAAATACGCTGTAAAACCGGTTCTTGTATAAAACAATCCTGTATAATTGTAATATTTGATTGTTCAGAAAGTAATTTCGTCTTATTTTTTTTTTCTTTTTTTGTAAAAATGAAGACAATTTTCATTTCAAGGTTAAACCTAGTCTTTTCCAATGGGAATAAAAAGTTGAATTTGATAAATTTAACCTCTCATCGATCTTACGTGATGTTATTTGTCGGTTTGCATCAACTTTTTGCTTTTATTGTGTCAGCAAAAAAAAAAGAAATTACTTTCCGAACAACCTATAAATATTTTTTAGGAAATAATTTTTAACAAACATAGTTAAAAAAAAAAAAAAATAAGAAAATAAATCGTATTTCAATTATTTTACTCTTGATGGAACATCTTTTTTTTTTTTTTGATTTTGTTTACAGTTTCTTTCAATGTTAAATAAATAAAATAACATAAAAAACATGATAAGAATGCTTCGAATAAGAAAGGTTTTAGTTTTATAGTCAATTTATATTTGTTTCTTTAGGACTGATGGAATTTTGTCAACTTTGATCCGTTCGGGTACCGAAACAATGGATGAGAATAAACGTTGGTACGTTTTCGATGGTCCTGTGGATGCAGTATGGATAGAAAACATGAATACTGTATTAGACGACAATAAGAAACTTTGTTTGACATCCGGTGAAATTATGAAGTTACAACCAACTCAGACAATGATTTTCGAAGTTGCTGATTTAAGGGTTGCTTCACCAGCAACTGTATCGAGGTAACATTATCTTTATTCTATACATTTCGAAGAAATATTATTACATATTAAATGTGTACAATTTTGTTTATGACATTTTCCTAAAGATGATTTGCAATAAATAACATTTTTCATTACAGTTTGATTCCACCATTGTTTACTTTGTTTCCAATATTTTCCTACAGATGGCTTGAATAAAAAATGGCTGAAGGCAAAGCGGAGAAAGAAAAAATTGTTTCTTCAAGCCATCTGTAGGAAAATAGGGTAAACAAAATTGTGCACACCTATTATAACGAAATATTAGTAGATTATTGCAAAAAAATAGAATATTATTTGAATTAATTATTATACACTTTGATTGTTTATGAAGAATAGTTTTGATTTAATTGACAGTGTTTAAATATGTTTGAAAATGTTCCTTTTTTTTGTTTTTTTTTTTTTTCAATTTTTCAAAGTGTAGTAAAGTATTTTTTTAGGACAACCTCTGTATATTGGGTTGCGTATATCGATTATGTATTTCTGATGGAAAAATAATACAATTAATTTATGACAATTAAAAATTGTCTAATATATCATTTTGTCATTCGGTTATTTATTTGAAATATTATATATAAAATATAATATAATAATAATATATAAATAAAAAAAAATATAATATAAAGTAATAATTGTATATATTATATAGTATTTTTATTTTTATATATTATAAAATAAATATAGTTGATGACAAAATTATTTTAAATTTTTGTAATTTTATTAATTAATTGATTTATTTTTTAATTTATAAAATAAATATTATTATTATTATTATTATAAATTGAAGAAGCATAAATATTAATTCAAAACAAATACATATATGTATGTTATTAACCAATATATCATTAAGATAATGTTTATCCAAGAATAATAATAATAATAAAAATAATAAAAATAATAAAAATAAAAAATAATAATAATAGACAATTTATGATTTACTCTGATTATTGATTAACGATTAAAGAACAATGAAACGCAAGTATGCATCTATCATCATTGCACATTTTGAAAAAAGAATAATAACAGATGATTTATGTCTGACGTGTGTTAAACAATAAAAGATGATTAATTGAATTGATTATCAATGCGATAAATGTAATTAGATAATAGATAAAATGTGTTATTTAAAAAAAAACAATATTCTAGGTGCGGTATGATTTACATGGAACCTGAAGGTCTAGGATTAAAACCTTTTATTAATTGTTGGATCAAATCATTACCTACGGTAAATTTTTATATATTTTTGTTGTTGTTGTTTTTTGTTTGTCTTACACATTTTTTTGTTTTTTTTTAAATTATTTTTATAAATTATTTAATATTTGTTATATATTATAATTAATATACAATATATTTAATATTCTAATTTTTATTATATGTATATTTAAATTATATGTATAAATATATAAACACATAAATTTTGTTAATATAAATTAATTTTCATTTATTCTTTATTGAAAATAATAAAATTTATATTATTTGTTTATTTACAAAAAAATTAATAAATAGATAATTAATTTAAAAATTAATTATATTACATTTATATATAATATTAATATATAATATAATTATAATTAATTTATACATTCAATTTATATTTAATATTAATATATTAATTAATTATAATTAATTTATATATTAAATTTATAATTTATAATTTATAATTTATAAATATAAATAAAAAAAAAAATTAAATATTTATTATTTTATTATAATATTTACTTTGTTTTTTATTTTTATTAAAGAATATGCACGATTATGTTGAACAAATAACCAAATTGACGAAAGAATTATTATTTCCTGGATTAAAAATGGTTCGAGAACAATTAAAGGAAATTGTTAATACTGTTGATTCAACAATGATACAATCTTATATAAATCTAATGAATTATCGAATTGGACCAATGGCTGGTCGAGATAACAAACCACCACCGTCGTTTATTTTTCAAAATACCATACGTAAGTGTTTGATCATGAAATTTAATTAAAAATAAATAATCCTTTTAAGATTGTTGTAAATTATTTCCTCGCACTCCTTGTACAAATATAAATTATTTTTTTTTTTTTTAATAATTTATTAATTTATAAAAAAAAACAAATACTCTGTCAATATTAATATTTTATTTGTAATTTTAATATTTTAATCTTTTTGTATTATTTATGACAGCTGATTTGTTATCACCATGGGCAGCTTTTGCTATTGTTTGGAGTTTAGGTGCAACATGTGATTACGATGGTCGTCGTAAATTTAGTAATTGGGTTCAAAATATGCAAAGAAACTTTCAACACGATTTACCTTTTCCCGATGACGGATTGGTATTTGATTACAGGTAATATTTTATTATCAATAAGTTCATTATTATCTGTTGTTCATATTTGTTGAAACATTTATTTGATAATTAATTGTGACATATTTTTTATTATTATGATTTATAGAATAAATTTTTGTTTTTTTTTTTTTTTTTTTTTTTTTTTTCATGGTGATGATTTAATTTATGTTTATTTAGATTACACGATGGTGGTTTTACCGATCACATTGAAGGACAAGATCCAATTCCACCGCATTGGATTAAATGGTCGAATGATATTCCAATCATTAAAATAACTCCGGAAACAAAATATGCTGGTATAATAAATCAATATTATGTATATATATATATATATATATTTTATTTTTTTTTTAAATATAAATTTATATATTTGTTTTTCACATTTGATATTATTTTAAAAGTAATTAATTATACTACGGATTATAATTTTTTATTGTGTATTTTTATCAATATTTTCATTCGTAATTGAAATATAAATCGTATATTCGATAAATTGATTACAAGTTTGAACACATTTATATAAATACATTTTCATAATTATTTTTATTTATTATTTTAAACTAATTAATAACAAAATCTAATAACAATGTAAAATAATTATTTAAAAACTAATTTAAATTATTTTTTTTTGGTTATTAAACAAATTAATAATAATAATAATAATAATATTTTTTTGTTATTAAAATAAATCCGTTTTTTTTTTTTTTAATTAGGGTTGATAATAATGTAACTTTTTCTTTTTTTTAGACATTTTTAATTATTTTAATTTTTTTTATTTCCCCCCCCCNCTAGATATTGAAGTTCCAACCGTGGATAATATTCGTCATGCTACTTTGATGGAATATTTGTTTATAAATAATAATAATATATTGTGCGTGGGACCAACAGGTAGCGGAAAGACTATGACAATTTCGACTAAATTATCTAGAAATATGCCGAAAAAATTTATTTGCGATTTTATCATATTTTCCGCTAGAACAACTGCTAATCAAACACAAGTAAACAAATTTTAGTAATTTGTTTTTCTTCGTTTTTATTTATTTATTTATTTATTTATTTATTTATTTATTTATTGATAACATTATATTCTTAGTATTATTACATTTCGATGGGATGTGTTTATTTTATTAATTGATATATTTTTTTTTTTTTGTAGGATTTAATCGATGGAAAATTAGAAAAAAGGCGTAGGGACGTGTACGGTCCGCCATTGTTGAAAAAACAAATATTTTTTATTGATGATTTTAATATGCCAGCACAAGAAGTTTATGGTGCTCAACCACCCATCGAATTAATACGACAATTTATGGATTTTAGTGGTATATATATATTGTTTAATAATATATTGAAAAAAATAATAATTATTAACAATAATAATAATAATTATTATTATTAAATTATTACAAATTTTTTTTCTCATTTAAAATCCTTTTTTTTTACTAATTTTTTTTTTTATTACAAATAATAACAAATATATAATTAATTAATTAAAAATTAATTAATTATATAATTTATATATTTAATAATTTAATAATCAAATTATATAATTATTTAATATATTTTATTATAATAACTATATATTTTATTTATTATAGTACGATGTAACAAATAATTAATAATACTAATATTTTATTTATTAATAACGTAAAAAAAAAAAAAAAACTAACCTCAATTGAAATTTGAAAAAGAACAATTTCGATAAAATCAACTTGAATATTTAAAAAAAAAAAAAAAATATATATATATATATATAAATTGCATAATTCATTCAACTTCATAAATAATTCCTATTACTTTACAATCCTTTTGTACAAACTTTCTATGTAATATTTTTCTAAAAAAAAAAAAATAATTTATGTTACGTTACTCTTTCACGTATTGTAAGTTATCGATTTGATTAAATAAGTATGGTTGAAAAGATAAGAAATAAAAAATACAATGTTCTCCATTTCGTAAGATTTACAATGTTATGTGAGTACACATACGTGAAAGATAAATGAAAACAGAAGTTCCTCTTATATTTTCTTTTTTGTTTTTTTTTGTTTTTTTTTTTTTTTTAGGATGGTACGACAGAAAGGAAATCGGTAGCTTTAGACTGATTGAAGACGTAAATTTTATTGCTGCCATGGGACCACCTGGTGGTGGAAGAAACCCAATAACATCGAGACTTTTACGACATTTCCATTTCATTGCATTTCCAGAAATGGAAGACAGTGCAAAGGTACAATATTATAATATTATTAACATATGTTTGACATATTTATCATAAAAAGAGACGAATTATTTTAATTTATAAATATAACACACATGTGTTTACTGTAGATTCGTGTGATAAAAGTTAGGTTATGTTCAAATTTTTAGCGCCATTCAACGAAATCTATGACCAACAGATGGCACTGAACTTACCACCATATATCTCTTTTTCTTCTTTTCTTCTTTTGTTTTCTTTTTTTTTAAATAATTAATTATTTTATAAATAAATTAATGCAATAAAATGCTAGCTGTATGTTAAATGCAACGTTGTGTCCAAATTTCAAGACAATCAGGTAGATTAGAGGTTAGGAACAAATTAAATTAACATTTTTATTTTTATTTTTTATGAATTAATTTATTTATTTATTTATTCAAATTATAATAATTGTATAATCAAATTATTTAGAAAGTATATATATCATCGTCCAAATTTTAATATGATCATTTTGTCATATAGTAAATTTAGTATTAATGTTAATTAATTGAAATTATTTATGAAATTAATTTTTTATTCTTTGTTTTGACACGTGTATTATACAAAATGATAGGTAAGAAAAAGTTTATAAAATATCAATAGGAGGTATTTTTCCATTTTCCATAGAGTTTTATTCCACCAAATTATAATCCACACCCATATACTACATAATTACAGATCATGGTGTAAGATTCGACTAAGGATAGAAGAGAATGTTGTTTCTTCACTAGTTTTTAAACGTGGTATATCCTTCCTTTCGTATTCATTGTAATTATACCCCATAAATTGAGTTCACTATGGTCATCATTTATCTTAATCACTTGGTTGGTCAATAGTAGGTAGATGTTATGATCATTTTGCCACCCCTTCTCTGACTATAATAAAGTTATTCCCGTACACGTTTCAGTGAGGTCACATCGTAGTAAACCCAATGTTTATTTAACGTTTCTTAAAGTTCTAATATTTCCTACTATCAATTTTATATTTAATGTTAATTAAACTAATTATATTTCTTGCTTTTTTTTTTCATATTTATTTATCATCAATCATCAATCATGCACAGGCTGTTTTTTTTGGGGGGTTTCCTTTTATTTAATTACAATACATTTGAATAGAATAAAGATTGTACTAATTAATTATTTGTAGTTAAAATAACAAATGATATTTAAAATTGCAATAATATTTAATAAAATGTTAAACTGTTATAAATATATTTTTTGGTAGCTAATTGTTTTTTTTTTTTTTTTTTTTTGGAACTATCAGCAATATGTGCAAGCATCTTGTATCAAGCACATACAATGTATATGTTTGATATAAGACTTAGTAATAAGTATTCATTGGTTAATTATTATTGCAATAGTATTTAATAATTTGTCACACAATTAGAAATATATTTTGATAAATAGTTTCTTTGTTTGGAAACTTATCAACAATATGTGCAAGCATCTTGTATCAAGCATATACAATGTATATGTTTGATATAAGACTTAGTAATAAGTATTCATTGGTTAATTATTATTGCAATAGTATTTAATTATGTGTCATACTATTATAAATATATTTTTATAAATAATTTTGTTTTGAAACTATCAGCAATGTATGCAAGCATCTTGTATCAAGCACATACAATGTGTATGATTAATATGAGAGTTAGTAACAAATCTTTATAGATTAATTAACATTGAAATGATATTTAATAACATGTCACATAATTATAAATATATTTTGGTAGACAATTGTTTTTTTTTTTTTTGAAACTATCAGCAATGTATGCAAGCATCTTGTATCAAGCATATACAATGTGTATGTTTAATACATTGTTAATTACTAACAAATCTCTTTATAGTTTAATCAGCATTGCAATAAAATTTAATAATGTGTCACACAATTGTATAAATACATTTTGATAAATAATATCTTTTTTGAACAATCAGCAATATATACAAGCATCTTGTATGAAGCATATATACAATGTGACAATGGGTATGTTTGATATGAGAATATTAGTAAGAAATCTTTATAGTTTAATTAACATTGATGTAAAGTAATAACACGTCAAATAACTTGGACACTTTGCTTTAATTATTAATATTGCCAAGGTGAAAATGGCTTGGATTGCAAAGGATTTAGCGTTATGAGAGTCATAAAGTGTAGATGAGGAGAATTGAGGGGAATGGTGGAGGTGGTTGTGGGGTTTTACTAAGCGAGACAATTTAATGTATTCAAGGTTGGTTTAAGGTTGAAGGGAAAGATTCGTTCGACGAAGTTCGATTCATACTAAATTGTTCTTTTATTTTCATTCATATTTTACCATTTTCTCTATACCAATGGATAATAGAAAATATATATATGTATGTATGTATATATATATATAGATAAATATATTATATACATACATGCATGGTATATTTGAATGTAAAATAAATTCTGGTTGAATATTTTTCAATAATTTTTGTTCTTTTTTTACATTAGGCGAACATCTTTGGAATAATTTTAGAATCATGGCTTGCTAAAACACCAAATTATTTAAATTTATTAAAATCTATGGTTGATGTTACATTAAATGTTTTTGCGACAATTTGTAAAGGATTATTACCAACACCTGACAAATCTCATTACACATATAATTTGAGAGATCTTAGTAAAGTATTTCAAGGAATTCTCATGGCTGATCCTACGACAATTAATGCAAGTATTATTTTTTATTATTATTATTAATTAATAAATGTTAATTAATGTTTGAATGTTTTGATTAGAATTAACGTTTGAATTGTTTTGATTAGAATGAATGTTTGAATTGTTTTGATTAGAATGAATGTTTGAATTGTTTTGATTTTTAAATTTAATTTTCTTGTTTTATTTTTACAGTCTTATGAAAAATTATTTCTTTTATGGTATCATGAAAATACTCGTGTGTTTAGTGATCGTTTGATCAACGACGATGATCGAAATTGGTTCAGCAAACTTTTACAGGACACTTTAAAGGAACATTTTGATTACGATGTAATAGAACTCGTTAAAAATAAAGTATTGTTTTACGGTGATATTTCTAATACTACTGGACAATACGAACGTATTACCAATATTCGTAAGGTAATTGTTTGTACAAAATATAAAATATAAAATATAAAATAATATGTTTGTAAATAAATTTTTGGTGTGTGTATAAAAATGTTTTGATTACAGATGAAACAAATAGTGATTGGTCATTTGAAGGAGTATAACAATTCTACAACTGAACCAATGAAATTAGTGTTGTTTCAAGATGCTTTAGATCATATTTGTAGAATTATTCGTATATTAAGACAACCAAGAGGAAATGGACTTTTATTGGGCATGGGTGGATCTGGTATATTTAATTTAAAATTAATTAATTATTTATTTATTATTAGAATAAAATTCTTAATATTTAATTATGAGAAATGTGATAAAAGAAGATAAGATAGGAACTGTAAATGTTATTCTGTTAAATATTGTTCTGTCAAATTCAAACTTAAAACATATATTGTGAACATGTAACTTGTTGTTATTAATCATTTTTATTTGTTAAATAATTGTATACGTAATATATTAAATAATTAATATATTATATTAATTAATTAATTAATTTATTTATCGTGTAATAATACTTTTTTTTTTTAAATAATTATTTCCAGGTCGGCAGAGTTTGACAAAGCTTTCATCGCACATACGAGAATATAATTATTTTCAAATAAAATTAAGCAAAGTTTATTCGAATAATGATTGGCGTGAGGATATAAAAAATGTGATGCTAAAAGCAGGATTAGAAAATCAACCGATGGTATTTTTATTTTCGGATACTCAGGTAAAATTGCATTTGTCGATTTAAATCGGGGTTTTTTGTTTGTTTTTTTTCTTTTGTGATTTTTATTTTCAGTGTTCTCTTTCATTCGTTTAAGAAATGTCCATCGTATTTTTTGATTTACTCGTATTATTTTTGTTTTTTTTTTTTAAACTTGTTTGTTTGTTTATTTTTTGTCAGATAAAAGGTGATTTTATGTTGGAAGATTTAAATAATATATTAAATAATGGCGACGTACCAAATATATACAGTTCGGAGGAAATGGAAAGAATATTTCAAGTCATGCGTGGTCCGGTTCAAGAAGCTGGATTACAAATCAATAGGAGTAACCTTTTTTCAACATATATCAAAATAGTGAAAAACAATTTACATAATATTATTACAATGAGGTATGTTCTAACCATAATATGTAATTTATGTATAATATCATTTTTATCAGAAGAAAGTCAATACAGGTTTTTTTTTTTTTTTTAATCATAACGATCATTATACATATATACAGATATATGTATCTAAAGAAAGTATATTTACAGTAAAACTTTTGAGTATTCAATAATTTAATATTCGAACTTTTTCGAATTTTTCTAATAGCATTAAACATTTTCATTGCTTCCCAACTTTATGAAATTGATATATATATATATAAGCATTTTACAGTTGACATTTGAATTGCGGTATTGAAAAGAAAACTTATGTTATTATACAGTTGAAATGAAAGTTTAGAAATATTATGTTAAATACTAAAAAAAAAAAAAAATGGTAATATTATAGTCAATAGAATAATAATATTGTATATTGTGTTTTACAGTATAGTAAAATTTCTTTGAATAGTTGGAATGTTTTATTGGTTTGTTCAAAAAAAAAAAAAAAAAAAGTTCCTCTTAATTATTATTATTGATGTAGAATAGAATAGATTTTTATGAAAAGTTTCACGAAAACTTTTGGAGGTAATAAAATGTACAATATACAGGGTGTTTTATATTATATAGAATTAAATTTATATAGAGATGAAAAATAAGGAATAGAACAAATTATTTACAATATTCGTACGAATTCGTGAATTATTTATTTAATATTGTTTCATAATGTCAAAATTACAGTCACCCTTTTGGATTTCAATAATTCGCGCGATATAGTTAATCTTTAAAAAAAAAAAAAAAAAAAGAGTTTCTCTCTGGTAAATTTAATAATAAATAATAAATAATAAATAAATAATAAATGTAATATATAAAAGTTGTATGATTATAAATAGATAAAGATGAATACGATATAATGTGACCTACAGCTATGAATGAGTGATGATAGAAAAATTGAATAGGGATCGTTTGATTAGAAAGTATATTGACTTTCTTGAGTATATATATATATATATATACATATGTGTAAATATATACATATGTGTATATATGTTTATACTAACCCTTGAATTAGTTCTCTTTACTCTTTAATATATCTAACCATAAGAATGTATTCATGGAATAATTTTTAGTTTGTATTGGTATATTTTGTGTTTTGGATTTTTTTACTGCTACGTCATAGCGTTGTAAACTTTTTTTTTTTTCTCATTAAATATTTATTATAGGAAAATATTATTAATTTTAATTATTAATGTTATAATATATCCACATAGTAGAAATAAAAAAAATATATATATATATATATATATATATATACATAACATGTGG